GGGCACCTGAGTGTGGGGGCCTGGGGGTGTGGTTGGCCTGGACCCAGACCTGCGATGGAGGACACCGCTGGGGTGGACCATCCCTGGCCATCTCCATGCCTGGGCCAGGCCCCAGTGGTACCTGGAGGAGAAGCTTCACGCTCAGTTCGTGCTCAGGAGCCCCTCCCCCAGCCTGGCCAGAAAGTGCAGCTGTGTGGGGTTCAATGTGGAAACTGAGGCACCAGGAGGTGGAGGAGCTTTGGAGCTGGGCCCTGATGACAAAGCCTGCTGCTCAGAGATGCGGGTGGCAGGGGCTGTGGGGACGGCCATGGGGCAGGCTTTGAGCTCCATGCACTCGGCCACCTCCTCCTTGGGAAATGGACCTGCTGCTTCTCTTAGGAGTAAGAGGCCCCCTCCCTTTCCCACTTCTGCTGGGGCCTCGAGTGGCCAGGGAGGCCCCGGTGTAGGTTTCCTTTGGGTTTGAGTCCACTCAGAAGCCCTGGGGCCCACATGGGTACGTGTGCCAGGCTCATGAAAAAGCTGAAGGTTCGAGGCTCCCCCCACCCAGTGTTGCCTCAGAAGAAAGGCCTGGCCGTTGAGTTCTGAACATCCAGCCACTGAAGACCTTGCGGAGCCCGCTCTACGGAGACACACTCGGGGCACGAGTCGGAGTGACCCCAAAGTAACAGTGTGGCTGATGCACCTGTCTGCTCACCCAAGTGAGGAGCCCTGGTGGCTGCGAACAGAAAGGTCATCAGTTGGAGCCCACCCGCCGCTCCTAGGGAGAAAGATGAGGCTTGTCTGCTCTGAGTTACAGCCTCAGAGACCCGCGGACCCTGCCCTGCAGGGTCACTGTTGGGTCGATTCCACGATTCCACGCAGTGAGCTTGGTAGTTTGGGTTAACTTTGGACTACCCCCAGGGCCCCGCTGCATAAAGGCTGAGGGTCACTGGCCTTGAAATCTGCCAGGGCAGCGGTTCTCAAACTGGGGGTTGCGACCCCTTTGGGGTTGAATGACCCTTTCACAGGGGTCACCCGATTCATAACATTAGCAAAACGACAGAGATGAAGTAGCCACGAACATCATTTTATGGTTGGGGGTCCCCACCACATGAGGCATGGTATGAAAGGGTCGGGCAGGAGGAGGGTGAGAGCCCCTGCCCCAGGCACCACTCTCCCAGGCCGGCTGCCCAGGTGGAGGCTGTCTGGCAGCAGCGTTTACCAGCATTCACAGGAAGCACCTCCATGCAGGCTGGAGCACTTCAGGCCGCAGCGTTTATTGGGGTTGGAGGGGCAGCAGGTGGGGGAGGGGGAGGAGGTCACCCGGCTACTTTCCTGAAGAGCTGGACCGATCCCTCTCCCTCGGGGACCCGGAGCCTCCGGCCTGGGGGAAGCAGGCTGCCTGCCGCTGGGGATCCAGCCTCCAGTGCTGCCCACCTCCGGCCAAAGCGGCCCACGGGCCTGATGCCCCGGCCCGTGTACCAGGCGGGGTTGATGGCAGGGGCTGTGGGGGGAAGACAGACAGGTGTGGGCAGGTGTCCTTAAGCAGCAGGCCCGGCACTGGGGAATCCCCTGCCTCTGCCGTGGGAGACAAAGGGAGACAGGAACTCAGACAGACTCCAGGGCAGTTTCCCGTCTCCCCTGCCCACCTGGTTGGGACAGAGCCAGCTGCTCTCCAGGTTGTGTGGGCAGTGTCCCCCTGAACACTGGGCTGGGCACGGGCAGGGAGCAGGGCAGTGGGGCCAATCCAGCACGCAGCGACCCCCAGAGCTGGGAGTGCTAGCCAAGATGGGGCTGTCCCCACTTCATGGCGCGGCCCTGTGGAGCTTCCAGGGGGTGGGGTCTGCAGGGTGGTGGGCAGCACTCACTGCGGGCCTCCATAGAGTGTGGGTGGGCTCGGCTTGCAGACCCCTGCAGGGCCAGACACAGTAGCAGCAGGCACAGGAGCCAGGCTGGCAGCACCTTCATTGTCCTGGGTCTCTGGATGAAGCCTGCCTCCTGGGAACCCTGCGTAGGGAGGGTACAGCCTGGGGACAGAGGGCAGAGCACTGCTGATGCATGCCCCCACAGGCATGCCCACACAGGGCAGGGGGCAGGCTGGCGTGAGCAGCACGCTATGCACACGCAGAGTGGGAGAGGCAGAGCCTATGTGTATGTGACAGTGCGTGTGTACAAGTTAGAGTGCAGACGTATGTGCATAGATGGAAGAGTGTGTGTGTGCCTATGGGGCAGAGAGTGTGCATGTGCGTGCATGTACACACGAGTGTGTGCGTGTATATGTATTTGGTGTGTCTACACCTAAGAGCATGTGTGTGTTAGAGTGTGAGTGCATTCGTGCATGCGCATTTGGGTACATAGAGTAAGTGTGTGAATACATGCATGTACATGTGAGAAAGTGTGTCAGTCCATGTGTGTATCCTGTGTGCATGCCATCTCCTATCAAGCCACCTGCAGGGGCACCCCACACCTGAGTGGGGTCGGGGGTCTCCTCCCTGAAAGAAACTGGGCAGCATGCTGAGAATGCCCCAGACCAGGGGGAGCTGTATGCTTGCTCTTGGGGTGAGTCTGTTTTGGGGACCCTCAGGTGAGCCTATCCGAGGAGACCTTCAGCAGCACTTAGCGCCTGACCCCAGGGTCTGCTTTCCTGGGTGTTGGGCACCCCATCTGCACTGAGGGTGCCCTGGGGAACAACCCTGACCCTCACAGTGGTCCCCTTTCCTGTCACCTACTCACGCCCAGGGGTGGCACTGCACCCCAGCTACTCACCTGGTTCCGGGGGCCAGATGAGAGGAGCTGTGAGGTGGCTGATGATGGGTGAGTGAGGCCTGGGCGGTGTGCACCCCTTTTTATAGCCCCTCAGGAGGTAGCCAATCCTGGCCCCCACAGCCCCGCCTGCCTGTCACCGCCTGTCCCTAATGGTGCCACCTCCCTCCCAGCGTGGCAACCGGGGAGCCCGTTTTCGCCTCCTGTCTTCTTTCTGTACCCTTTTATTTGGTAAATATGCTTATCAGGGACATGACTCGTCCCTTCCCGGTGGTCTAATCTCATTGAGGCCAAGTGCTTTTAAACCCAGTTAGCAGTGGCTTTGGGCAAAGCACCCAGTGCCCATTAAGTCCGTCTCGCCAGAAAGGCCACCCGCCTGCACCCTCCAGACCCCAGACACGCTGTTTCATTCTTTTCTGGACCCTTCTTGGTCCTGGGTGGCACCCACAGAAGACGAACTGCCTCTCTGCTGCTGCAGCTTCATGTCAAGACGGGCAAACCTCCCTGAGCCTTCACACAGCCCCCAAGCCTCGCTCAGAACACACGTCTACCAGGATGATAAGGCGGCCGTGCATGTTTGGAACCGTTTTAGACACACTCCGTGGCTTTCTTATGATTGTCACTGGGTTGTGCAGCCATCCTGTCCCTGGTCCCAGGACGTGTCCACCCCCCAGAGAGAACGTGTGTGTCAGCATCGACTCTCATCCCTCTCCCCCTCCCGCTGCCCGAGGCCCTGGCGACGACAACAATTCTGCTTTTGGTGAAGAGATGTGTCTGCTCTGGCCACCAACACGGGTGCTGCTGTTCGCAGCCATCAGGTCAGTGCTGGCTCCTGGCGACCGGACGTGCGGCACAGCAGGGGGAAGCCTGCCCCCGGCCCTGCACCCGCCTCACGGCTGCTCTGACACTTGAGCCCGTGGCTGCAGTCACTGTGCCGACCCATCTCATACAGGGCCTTCCTCGTTGTCGCTGCCCCTCCGCTTGACCACCCAGGATGTCCTTCTCCAGGGACTGGTCTCTCCTGACAACGGTCCAAAGTCTGTGAGATGAAGTCTCACCATCCTCGCCTCCGAGGAGCGCTCTGGCTGCGCTTCTTCCAGGACAGTCCGTTTGTCCTTTTAGCGGGTCCACGGTGGTCTCCGTCTTCTTCTCCAGCACCACAGTTCAGACTCACTACCGCTCTGTCCACGTGGATGGACGCATACAATGTGTGGCCTGCTGTGCCCAGCCTTTTTGTTTACTTAGCAGAAGGTTTAAAAGTTCCTATTATGGAATCGAAAGCAGTCCCTAACAGGCTTGGACGGAGCTCTGGTGCTGTCTTGCTTACCCATTGGGCTGCGATCCACAGGGTCAGCGGTTCGAAACCACCAGCTGCTCCTCGGGAGAAAAGAGGAGGCTTTCTACTCCCGTAAAAAGTGACAAGCTCGGAAACCCACAGGGGCAGTTCCACCCGGTGAGTCGGGACTGATTTGATGGCGGCGAGTGTGTGAGAGGAGGTTTGGTAAAATGCGGAGCAGCCAGGAAAGCTGGCAACAGTCCCCGACAGTGTCCTGGGGACCATTGCTTCTCCGGCTCGATTGCTTTCTCCCCGAGGGTCTCCCACGCGCGACCTGAGGGTGGGGCTCCATCCCTCAGATGGTCTTGGACCTCGTTCTTTTCATGCGACGCCCTCACCACCTGTCCTCAGAGGCACTGCTGCGCCGCTCGAACCACCACCCCATAAGCTGCTCTGGAATCTGCCACCGGAACCAGGAGTCCCTCGTCTGAGCACTTGTGTTCCTGTTGCTGTTTGCTGCCTCGGAGGGCGCCCCGGCGTCCGGCAGCTCCGTGGACGACGCATGCACCGTCCATGGTGCTGGCGAAGACGACGGAATGTACCATGGACCGTCCAGAGAACTATCCAGTCTGTCCTGGAAGAAGTACGGCCGGAGTGCTCCTTCCTTTGGACACGTGGTCAGCAGAGGGCAGTCCCTGGAGAAGGGCAGCGTGCTCGGTAAAGTGGAGGGGCGGCGTCAAAAGAGGGAGACCCTGGGCAGGATGGACTGACACGGTAGTGGGTGCAACAAGGGGCGTAACATGATAGTGATTGTGAGCACGGCACAGGACCGGATGGCCTTTCGTCCTGTGGTGCACGGGGGTGCTGGGAATGGAGCTGACAGGATGGTGCCTGATGATAGCAACAGCAACAACACCAGTGACAAGGACAACAGCAGCAACAACGACAGCCTCCTCCTGGTTGGTGGGGCTCTGGCTCGTGTGAGGATCCCCAGGCCTCTCTTCCTGGCCCGTCTTGGTCTGTGCGCTCTGCTCAAACCCGGTTAGCATCCCACTGACAGAGGGTGCTGGTTCCGGTTGGGACGGGCGAGCTGGCCAAGAATGGGACCCAGGAGGGGTTCTACATCACCCGCTATGGCCCCTGGCCCTGCCTCTGACCAGCACTAAGTACCACTGACGGGTGGGGGCAGGGGCACTCCGAAAGAAGAGGCCAATAGGCCGTCTCAGAATGGACACTGGGCACTCCAGAAGGAGGGCTTGCCGCGCTGTTTGATCTATATTCAGGGATGTGCTCGGGGCCATCGGGACCCTTTGTATCGTCTTTGACATTGAGGGACTTGTGTCGGCTTTAATTTACTTTGTGGCCAAGGAGGGAGCGCACAGAACAAAGGAAACGGATGCCTTTGGTTTGTCTTGGAGCCTTTTAATTTTCGTACCGAGCACTGAGTGGGAGCGCCGTCTGTCCATCCAGTGAGAAGGCGAGCACCCGGGGCCCAGGCATTGGCATAAACCAGTGCACACCTCGCCAAGCCGTACTTGCGTTTGGCTCTGTTGCGGGGGGGAGGGGGGGACCGTCCCTAGGCTGTGACCCAGGAACTTGTCCAGAAGTTCCCGAGGGAGTAATCAGGTCCACATGCTGGGCTCTGGTCAGCAGGTGGCCCCAACGAAGTTTTATTGGCAAAGCTGATTGTCATTTCGTTAAACAAAACTGTCACGTCAAACAAACAAACAAACAAACAAACAAGCAAACAAACAAACAAGCAAAAGACTGACTGGTTTGAGCAAGAAGAGCTGGAGCCGATCCCAAAACCACTTTAGAAACAAAGTACAGACAAAGCCCGCACCGTGTTGGTTCCGGCTCATGGCAGCCCCAGGTGTGGATCAGAGCTGGGCTCACAGGGTTATAGGCTGGGACCTGTTGGAACCAGGTTGCCAGGTTTGCCTCCCAAAGTACCTCTGGGTGGGTTTGAACCGCCAGCCTTGCAGTTTGTAATCGAGCACATAACCACTCCTGCCACCAGGGACTTGTGGGAAGGCCCGGAGGAACAGCAAGATGCCGCCCGACTCCAGTTGGTCACCTGGGAGCAGCTGCTGCGTCACCCTCAGCACCCTCCTGTGCAAAACGGCAGACAGGTGGACTGAGCCAGTGACTCCAGGTGAGGCACAGCAGGTGTGCCTAGGTGAGTTGAGGTGACTGGGTGGGGGTCTGAAAGCAGCTCTGGGGAGCTTCTGTCAGCCCTGGGAACCAGGCGAGCTGTGTGGCACCCATCCGTCTGAGGCGGCTAGGACCAGAGGGAGTCTATAGCTCTGAGGACGGGGTCTGCTGGTTCCCCTCATGCCGGCATCACACACTAGTCCTGGGTTCCCCTGGTCCTGGGTCTTTTCCAGGGTCCCCAAGGGCCTGCCTGCCATCGGGAGCTCTCATCTGCCTCCACCTGACTGCCCCCCTCGGTGCTCCCTGCAGCCTGGGGCGCTCTGCCCTGGAAGGGGTGCTTTCCCCTGTGCTGTGAGCACAGGTGTGAGGCCCGAGGGTGTCTGTGCCCCTTGTTAGATAGCTCTCAGGCCTTTGACTTGGTGCCCAGCTTTCCTCCCTAAGGGCACTATCCAGATGCCCCTCTGGTGGGCACGGTCATGATAGACCCACGGGGGCCTTGACTGGGCTGCCCTGGCCTGTCAAATTCATGAAGGCCACGCCAGGCAGTGCAGTGGGAGGAGGTCCTGGGGGTCCCAGGGGGCAGGCCGGCTAGAGGAGCCGAGGGAGCTGGAGGTCTGAGTGTTGTGGGCATCCCTCAGGGGGTGTCCATCGGGGTGGAGTTTCTCTTTCCATCCTGGAGGGAGAACAGATGGGGATGGGGGTGGGTGGCAGGGGCATCTTTGTTGCATTGTCTTGTCCCCGTGAGCCTCTCCTTCAGGGCTGGTGGGTCATCACAGGCTTCTGTGAAATAATGCGCACATGAGTGTGCATGCTCACAACACGCAAGCACACACGATCATAAACACGGATAACCATGTAGTTGTACACACACGTACATGAGGGTGCATGCCGACACAAACACAGGAGCACACACATGGCACACACACACGACATACAGACGATTATAAACATGTAGAAACATGTATCGGTATTCACACACATGTACATGAGTGTGCATGCCTACACAAACACAGGTGCACACAAGGCACATGGTGCGTGCACACACATGATCGTAAACGCAGATAAACACCTATAGGTGTGCAACATACATGCACATGCGAGTGCACACTAGGCACAAATTTGAACACGCAGACCCATGCCAGGGTGCACTTAGAGACACACGTGACTGTGCACACAGGTACATGCACAGGAGAACACACAGCTACACTCATGTGGGCATGCACACAGATACACACGCTAGTGCACATATAGTCATGCACATGTGTGCACACAGGAGCAGGCACATGCAGGAGTGTATTCAGACAAAAGCAGTACAAAATTGATAAATGCACATGTGTACTGATATATACTTATGTACTGATATATACTTGTGTGGACACATGGGTGTGTACACAGACATACACATGTAAGTGCACATGCAGGTACCATGAGTGCATTCACACAGACACAGCCTTGCCCAGTGCCCTTGTCCTCTGGGTGGTATCTGCAGAGCTCCTCCGGGACTCCACAGCCCCCAGTTCAGTCATTCTCACACAGGAGTCCGCTGCTTGGTGAGGGGTGGTGGTGCCCTGGGGGTCTTGGGACTGTCCCCTTTCTTGGATCCGAGACATCCCACCTCCTCCCAGGGATAGCTGGCCTGTAGGAAGCACCCTGTTGGTGCCTGGTTTAGCAATTCTCAGGACCCCAGATCTGGATTCGCCAAAGAGCTGCCTTCCGGTTCAAGGTTTGCTCTGCTTCCCAGGCTTGGTTCGTGGGACTGGGTCCCAGGCTCCTGTGCTCTGCAGGCGTTCCCACGAGGGCGCTAACCTGACTGGCCACAGAACCCCATAGAACCGTCCACAAACGTGGTGGAAACGTTACCGCGAAGACCAGGCCGGCGGCGGTCCCCTTCCTCCCGTTAGGGTTTCTCTGCGTCAGGGAGCCTCGGTACACCGACTTCCGGTCAAATGCTTCTGCACTGCTGCCTTTGGGGAGCACATGAGAGGGATTCCAATAATTGCCTGCATCCCTCAAGCCAGTGCCTCAAACCAGCAGCCCCAGACCACGTGCCCAGTCTTCACAGCGTGTCCATTCAAAACAGAACAGACAAAAGCATTTTGCAGTGCTGCAAACACGTGGCCCGGTCAGTTTCTCATTTGAACATCTTTGTGCGAGTTGGGGGAAAGTTGGGGTACAAAGCAGACCAGTTTTCCACTCACCAATCCACACACAGGTGTTTCAGGTCCCGGAGTGCAGTCTCCTCGGTACCGCACCCCACCCCTCTCCCTCTGTGGTTCCGGGCCCACTCCTCCGGCCTCCGGAACGCGCTCCTCTGGCGCAAGGAGGCCAGGAGACGCAGCTGCTCCCACGAGGATGAATCCTCGCAGGGCCAGGCAGTGGGAGACTTTGCCACCTCGGAGTTTGGGGCGTCTATCTCCCTCTTTCCCCCTTACTCTGAGACGTGATGGCAGGCCAGGGGTCTGAGACCTTGGACCTTCGAAGAGATGGCTTCTCCCGGGCCATGGCTACACGGCTGGGGCATCTGGCCTCAGATCCTGGCTCCCTGCTTCTAGCTGCCATCCTCTCTCCACTCTTGGGTCTCGTGCTCAGGCTATCTGGCATGCGGCCCGGGAGCTGCCCTCCAGAGGGGAGGGCATGCCCAGCTCCTGCCAGCTCACCATCAGCAAAGTCTCCCGCAGTTTGGGAGTGTTTGTGATTCTTGTTAGGTGCATCAAGGCGGGTCCAGCCCACGGCGTGGCTGGACCCACAATGGAAGGACACACGGCCCGCCTTGTGTGTCCATCCATCTCGTTGGGGGTCTTTCTTGGTTTTGCTGCCCCTCACTTCCCCGAGCAGGCTGTGCTCCCAACGTATGGGAGACTAGGTCTGGCTGCTCTTCCACGACAGATTGTCGGTTCTCTGGGCCGTAGGTGGTACCCTCAATATTCTTCGCCAGCACCACAGTTCAAATGCACCGGTTTCCCTTCGGCCTTCCTTGTTCAGTGTCCAACTTCCACACGCAGCGCAGACGATTGACAAGACCATGGCTCGGTCAGGCCCACCTTGGTGCTCAGAGGGACGTCCCTGTCCTCAACACTTTCCAGTGCTTTGCCAAGTGCAGGGTGGTCTTTGGTTTCCCAGCTGCAGCGCAGGGCAGCTTCCCTCATGGAGAATGGCAGGTGTTGCAAGCCTGGGATGTTTTGGGTGGCTGTCTGATAGCACCCCTTTTTTGGGCAGGGTAAGTTTCAGCTGGCCTCACCACCTGTCCCTGTCCCAGATGGGCTTCCTCCAGGACCCAGGAGCGTGTGAGAGTGAGTTACGTGTGGTCCCAGATCTGGAAACTTCCTTGACCGCCCTGCTCAGGGACTGTAAACAGGGCGGAGAAGGACAGGAGGGCTGTCCACATGCGGAATGCAACGTGTTTCAGGGTCTGGACGGTGCTGGTGTCTTGGCCACTGTCTGGCCACCAGAGGCTGGACAGTCTTGCTGATGTAGGACCAGGCACAGAGGTCGGGAACCACTCTCATCTCTCCCGGCAAACTTCCCTGGGGGTTCTAGCCCACAATCCTGCTGGATGTGGGGAGGTGTGTGTCTGCTCTGGTGTGGACAACTGTGCATGGGGAGGTGTGTGCTGTGGTGTAGACAGGTGTGTGTGGAGGAGGTGGGTGTCTTCTAAGATGTGGATCAGCCTGCCCGTGGGCCCAGAGTGGGGCAGGCTAGGGCCGGGTGGGCAGACAGATGGTTACGGGTGTGCAGGCAGGTGGGAGGCAGTGATGGCTTGTGAGCCGAGGCAGCGCAGGAGAGGGCCACCTTTGAGCCAGTGGGTCCAATGGACTTTGACAGAGGAGGTCAGAGCTCAGAGACTGCGGGGGACAGATGTGACAATTATGTGGGGCTTGGAAAGAGGTCTGCAGCCGAAGGCCAGCTGTGCACTGGGCTAGGGCTGCTCTCCTCTGCTCTGTGTCCAGCTGTCTGTCTGTCAGGGGGTGGCGGAGTG